CTCGATTCCCTTCTTTTACCAGTGGGAGGTGAGGTGCAGAAATGTCGACGAGGTGGTCCTTAAGCTTTTCCCAGGCTATGTGAACAGTGTCGGTCTCAGATATCACACCGCTGGCGGTAAGACTGTCCGTCTCCTCGCACGACGTCAAAAAGTAGCGTAGATTTACCGCGTTATTGTCGGCGCCTTACTATTTCCAGGGTCTTCAAGCCCTTCCGAAGTTTTACGGGCAGATCTAGTCCGCTTCTGCTTTTGGCTCACGAGAGCAGGGGCCATTGACCTAGTGTCGCATTGGGCAGTTACCAACAAGTCAGAACGGGCTACTTCAGTGGCAGCCGAGACGCGAAGCATTTTCGACGGACAAATATTGCGCATGGGAATGTTCTGCGAACAACCGTCAAATAAGTTTGGGAACAGCCAAAAATAACCAACCGGAGGCCACTATCCGCAGTATCTCAAGTTCAAGTTCAAGTTCAAGCGGGACTGGAACGATAGGATTATCCCGTGAGTGCTCCTTCTTCGGCGGGTCGTTGAACCAGGAGTTGGCGAACTTTGAAATACTGATGGACCTAAAACAAAGACCGCATCACACCCTGTCCAACCAATTAATGCCTACGTATCCTGCCCTAGCAGTCCCTGCTGGGTCGGTTACATGAAGTAAGAAAGAGAAAAAAGTAAACGCAGAAGGCAAAAGAGAAAGTGGTAAGAGCTAAGCAAGTGGAATACCAAGATATTTGAGTCAATAAAAAAGAACTGAAAAGTGAAGGTGAGTCAGCTAGGAAAAAGGAAATGTTTGCTGTTGCCACCCAAGAGCATCGAGCTGGCGCGCAAAACCCTTAACCGTAGATTCCCTAACCACATGATCTGGAAGCGAATTCCAGCGATCTATAACTCGGCGCGATAGACGAGTTTCCGTCCTAATCCTATCAGACCGTGGTTTATGCAGTTTCAGTGGGTGACCGCGGAGACTAGGTAACGTAGCGGGACTAAAAAGCCCTGACAAGTCCGGGCCAATCTTACCCGTCAAAATACGATAAGTGAGAATCAGGTCCCCTCTTATCCTTCGGTAGTGCATGGAGTACATACCCAAACTGAGCAAGCGTTCAGGATACGTCTGTCCCCGTAGACCCTGCACTAACCGAGTGCCCACTCGTAACACCCTCTCCAAGTCCATTTTGTCTCGGTTAAGACATGGTGGACAAGCCTGAATACAATATTCCAGGTGGGGTCGGACGAATGCCGAAAATAGCTTCACAAACAACTTGGCCGTTAAGATTCCGAAAGAGCGGCGGATAAACCACATCATACGAAAACCTCGACAAGCAGCCTTCTTCCAGTTGTCTCCAGAATGAAGTGCTGATGCGTGTACGACTCCTAAATCAACCTGCTGAGTGACAACAGGGAGTTCACCACCGCCGACAACATTTCGGGTGGGAGGATTAGCGGCTCCGATTCGGAGAACAGAGCACATCGCCCTATTTATGGGCATCAACCATAAGATAGACCATTCCCCGAGCCTATCCAAGGCACACTGAATTGCCTCAGGACCCGCGGAATATCCACAATATTCCAGAGCTTAAGGTCGTCAGCAAACATTAATGATGACACCCCTAGCTCTCCCGGCAAGTCATTTACATAGATCGCGAACAACAATGGCCCCAATACCGAGCCCTGCGGAACGCCACTAAGGACAGCTTGACTGAGCGAAAGGCTACGCCCCACCCGTACGCACTGTTCCCTCCCCTCAAGGAAGGCAGACACCCATTGAAGGGCGCGACCAGATATCCCGTAAGATCTCAACTTTAGTGAGAGCCGAAGATGTGGAACAGTGTCAAAAGCTTTCGAAAAATCTACGAATAGCACGTCCACAGCGTGGCCACTGTCTACCGCTTCGGCCCAGCTTTCACGAGCTACAAGTAGATTAGTCTGGCATGAAAATCCTTTGCGGAATCCATGTTGTGCAACACTGAGAAGGTTGAATCGATTCAGGTGGTTCTCCACTGAATCCCTTATCAGCTTCTCGAACAACTTGACTACTACGCTTGTCGCGCGTAGAGCGCTGTCACTGCCCTTAAAAATCGGACAGATTATTGCCTCCTTCCATTCCGAAGGTAGGCTGCAGCTGTCCAGCCATATTGAAAATGCGCACGTGAGCGGACCACTGAGCTCAGTGGCCAGTTCATGCAACAGCTTCGGATGAATTGCATCAGGACCGGAAGCTTTAGAGGGATTAATGCCTTGCAGTAGCTCGAAGACCTGAGTCTCCGTTATGCTAAATTCAGCTAAGCAAGAATCCTCTGGAACTCTTGAAACCAATTCAACCCGTGGTAAAGAGGTCTCCCGAGCAAAGACCCCAGTATACTGATCACTCAATATACAAGCCCTGTCATAGTCAGTTTGGGCACGGGTCCCGTCTGCTCACAATAAAGCTGGTATAGACAGTTTGACCCGCTGCGTCTTTTAACGTAAGCAAAAAGCTGCTTTGGATTAGTTGCAGCTGAGTCCGCAAAACCCTGCTCGTATTGGAGACGAGCAGTTCTGAGATGTTGCTTACATTTATTTCTATTCTCTCGATAACTATCATAGGTACTGGCTGATGGAGCTGTTTGGTAGGTTCGCCAGCATCTTGAACGTTCCTTGAGTAGGTACTTGCTAGTGGTATCTATCCATGGAGGCTGTGCCCTTAACCCTCTTTTCCTAATGAGTGGAATATAGGGAGCGGAAACCTCCATAAGATATGCCTTAAATTTATCCCAGGCTAACTGGACAGAGTCAGCCATCGAGATCTCACAGTTCAGAACTGAAGCTTTAGTTCGCATTGCACAAAAGTTTGCCCGCCAAATATTCGGAAGTAATTCAACAGCGGTCTCTTGGTGCCTTGAAAGAGCACATCGAAAGGATATGCATGCGTGATCGCTGGACCCTAGAGGTGCACCGCATGAAACCTCAGTCACGAAGTCCAGGGACCTAGCGAAAACCAAATCCAAAGTAGATGGTATTTGGTTGTCCAAATACCTAGTGGGAAAGTCAACGAACTGGTGCAAAGGCACTTGGAGAGTCAGTTCAAGGAAGTCTGCACCGAATGTTCCTAATGCCGAATTGCAAGAAAGATCGGCCCAACAGACTTCCGGGAGGTTGAAATCCCCTAGAACTAAATACTTATTCGCAGACTGAGTGCGAATAAAGTCAAGTATCCCCCTGGAGGAACTTCCAGGACTTCTGTATATCACCACAACTGTAAACTGGGTAGAGGAAGTGCACAAAACAGCCAATAGGGCTTCAACAGTCTGATCCGACGACTGGAATGTGCAAGTCCTCAACACCTCTAAGTTACAGCTCACATACAGTACAACGCCTCTGCCTTGGCGACCAACGGAGCGATCAGTTCTAAGCAGCGCGTAGCCAGATAAATATACCTCACCGTCCGTGATATCCGGAGACAACCACGTCTCAGTGAAAGCAAGTATGTCGGGACGAGATTTGTCTACAAGTAGACCCAACTCGTGCACCTTGTTCCTTAGGCTACGCACGTTGTTAAGTACAACCTCAAGGAAGTCGGCACGGCCATCCCTGGGTCGTGCCCCATCAGGATTGGTTCTGATAGGGCGGAAAGTAACTTCGGCGGGACCCCCACCAGCAAAATCTCTACCCAGCCTGACGGCCTTGACACACAGCTCCGCCCGACAAGTTTTGCTGGTATTTGATCGCTCCTTAGACATCTAAACCCTATCCTGCATCCGGTAGGACCTCGGCTAACGCTACCACACTACCCTATACAGTTAGACAGCGAAATCGCAGAAAAGAAAGCGTACGCCTAGGGGTCGATCAGGACCTAGCAAAGTATTCGGTGGTGATCGTGGAATAAGGCCGCCTCGCTCTAAGAGGAAACGTTTCCCCCAATAAGTATCAGCTCCCCATCATGCAGTGCCACCCGTGAACCCTGTGGCCTCCCCAGTCAAGACGCCCCCACGATATCCTCACATGCAAGACACCCATGAGCCTACCAAGTGAAGACACTGCATACCTCTACCTTCTACCCGATACCGGAATCTACACCCTATGCCAATCACCCTATCACCATCTACCTTCCCTCTTTTTATTAAACACCCCCCCCCTCTATAATTCTACCTTCCCCACTACCCGGCATAAAAACCCATTTCATTTAAGACCATAAACACCCCCACCTCCCCCCCCTACTCTACAAAACTAACAATCCTTGAAACAATAATAAAAACCAAACCCCACCTAAAACCTCACCCAATACCCAACAAAAATTACATATATCTTTTCACTTCCAAATACACGCCAATCCCTAACCCCCCTAAACTAATCCCCTTATTAACATCCTCTATACCTATCTAATATTACCTAACATATATCCACAACTTTCCAAACATTCATACCATCCCACCCCACACCCCCATCATCCATCCCAAACCATAACCCCTCAAAATACTACCCCTCCAAATCAACCAATCATCCAATCCTTCCCCAACCCCCCATCCACCATCAATTTACCCCCCCAACCCCCTACCACACCCATCAAACCACCACATCCCCACACCACCCCCCATAACCCCCCCACCCCCCCCCCCCCACCACCACCCCACAAAACCCCCCCCCCCACCCACCCCCCACCCCCCCCACCCCACCACCCACCACACCCCCCCCCACCCCCCCCCCCCCCCCCCCCCCCCCCCCCCCCCACCCCCCCCCCCCACCCACCCCCCCACCCCCACCCCCCCACCCACACACACACACACCCCCCCCCCCACCCCCCCCCCCCCCCCCACACCCCCCCCCCACCCCCACCCACCCACCCCCCCACCCCCCACCCACACACCACCCACCCCCCCACCCACCACCCCCCCCCACCACCCCACCAACCCCCCCACCCCACCCACACACCCACCCACCACCCCCACCCCCCCCCACCCCCCCCCACCCCCACCCCCCCCCAAACACACCCCCCCACCCCCACCCCACCACCACCCCCCCCAACCAAACCCCACCCCCACCCCCCACCAACCCACCCCCCAAACCCCACCCCCCACCACCCCACCCCCATCCCCCCACCCATCCCCCACCCCCCACCACGCAATATATATATATATATTATTTTATAGCAGGAAAACTTTTATTGGTACAGTAAAAGATCCTGTTACTAGCTTGAAAAAGAAGACCGTTGACCCTCTAACTAAGTTAACGGAGCAAGACGAACACACTGCGCAGTCGGAAGCCGCGCTCCACAACGGTCCATGATTAGCAGACGACTGGGAGGTTGCCGTAGCGTACAGCAAGCAACTGTGCCTTGGTGAAGGAAAAGTGAAGATTCCATTGGGATCTAAGAGCTGTTAATGTGGAGAAAATGCTATGGATTTCAACGCGGACATAATTGTATATGAGTATGTCGATAGTTTGAATGCAGCGTAAATTTCGTTGGCGGATTCAGCAGCTGTCGTGACTGTCGAACATACCGCTGCTTTCCGTGCTGTCTTCCTTCCGCATGTGTACCGCACTGTTGAGAATTTGAAAGTGACGTAAAGCGCTTTCAAATGCGAACTGCATCATGTTATTTTTCAAATCAGATGTCCTGACACCTGAGGCGTATCGGAAGAGAACCGGTAAATGGCTGCCTAAGGGTGCACGGTACAGATCCGTCCACTATGGATGCGTTTATTGCCGCCGAAGAGGGTACACATGTAAGTGGTAAGTTGACATGTAAAGTTTTTGAAAAGCTTACGAACTGTAGGTACAAAAGTTATGACCCCAGGGCCCATTTTATCATACGGCATAACGGCCGGTGCTTTGACAACGTTGTGCAAGCCATACATTGCATGTAGGAAAGCGGTTCCTCTACTTGAGCAACAAATCGCTCCCGCGGCACTCGGAAGAGGAGTTCTATCGTACGATGCAGTCGTTTAAGGACACCCGCGAGCGCAGGAAGTATGAGTTCACGAACTAAGGTGGAAGATTGAACTGTTACGACCTACGGACTATAAGACATAAGAGGAGGGGCAAGAGCGACGGGAACTCAGTGGAGCCAGTGGTACAAGTTCTGGAGAGCGTCAGTCAAGGTACTGTGGAGTATGAGGAATCGGAATACAGTTCTTATTTGTCGTTCCCAGGTACGTACTTGACCTCGTGGACCGTTACTGCGAGGTAATGCTGCAAGAAACGATACACCAGAGGGACTTTGGCGGCCACATACTGTGGCACTGCACGTTGGTAGATGTACATGGTATAGGACGTTCAATCTTCTACGCGTTACTTCCGAATGAGACAACCGCATTGTATTTGAACGTTATGCGGAACATGCACATTTTACCAGCGACTGAGACAGCAAGGACTGTGGTGTTTGATAAGTGCATGGCCCAGATCCATGTTTACAAACCGTGTACCTCTCTGCGCGCATTGTATTGTGCCGTTCCATTAACTTCGGGATGTCACCCGTCACTGCAATGGGTTATCCGCGAAAACTGCAACCGACAGGCTGCTTATTGAGCAGTGGGTGCGGAGCTTGGTGTATGCTAGGAGCTCCTCCTTGGTAGTCGGGTTCTTGACATCCATTCCAGTGCGCAACGTCAAGGAGTACATGTACATGGTAAGGACTTGGTTGCCGTTTCTCTCACCATGGGCAGCGCACCGCCTGACGTCTACCTGTTTGTTCGGCTGTTATACAACAGACCGGGTGGAGAACGACAATAGGCAATGAATGCGCGGCCATTCGTAGATCTGTTTACCGCCGTCATTAACCGCAGGCTTGATGCTCCATCCCAGTGGCAAGGTTTGATATTCAAGACGGAATCGTCTGCTCACGCATTATACCCTTGGTTCGATAAGCTTGAACAAGCTGCGTATCAGTTTTCAATTTACGCAAGGCTGCGTTTGCGATGCCATTACACAAGGGCTAAGGTGACATTGATGGACTTGTCCAATGGTAGGCGTTAGGTGCCACGTTGCCGAAGGCACTGCACCATGTTAATGAGTAAGGACGTAAAGTGCCCATGCAGCTTCAGTCGACAATGGCTGCTTCCGTACGCTCACATTTTGCATGCATTGCACGCGGCAGGCCGACCGGTAGAGGAGATATTGCGCAACAACCGCTTGATTGTATCGCACGCGCGACATCCGTGCGTTACCTCACCCATGTCCTCCGCCATCGCCCCTCTCCGTCGACTTCCACAGTTTCTCCGGTAACTAGGGAGCAGAAGCTTAGCGAATGCAGTCAAGTTCTTGGTACTATACAGGTACAGGTTTGTAACCTGGGCGATGCAAACTATGGGGAGGTGATGTCTCAGTAGCCGCAGTTCCAACACAATCTAACTAGTTCTCACGATGTCGTTGCGGTTACTGCTTCCGAAACCATAAATGAAGCAGCAGCAGAAAGGATGGGTGAACCTACCAGGGAAGGTACAAGACGTAAGCCACGCTTAGTGCCATTCCAGATATGTTCGTCGGCATGAGGGATGAAAGGAACCCAATACTTTTAAAAATTTGCACACCACCAGCGCCAGTGGGTGTAAGCCTCCAAAGAACCGACGTTGCCATACAAAACTCCCAGCCAATTACGACAATGCAAAGTGCGCTATGTGCGTTCAATCAGCCTGCGAGACACGAAGTGGACAGGTAGTGTACTAGTTTTGTGCTCTGACCGCCGCATTTGGTATCCTCAACAGTGCACTTCGTACAATGTACAGGAACATTTTACTTGCTACCGGTGTTCGTAAGCCCTCCTTGTTCATGTTCCCATTTCTGCGTTCCTTTATTGCCACACCATTGCTTTCGCCTGCTCGTTAGGTACTCGCGCTACTTCCATATGTTGTGCCCCTACTTGACGGGTACGGCACGTGTGCCTACCTCGCCATGGGGATCACGCATGATGGGAGTGGTCAGGTGTATCTTAGGACATCAAAACTCCCGCAATTTAGCCGCGCTGTGATGATACACATGCTCCCCAAGTTCCTCTATTACAACCTCATCATCTAACCAACCTGAAGGACCTTTGTGCTTTGCCAAGCACCGAGCTACCACGTATGGAAATGGTGAAGTACCGTCAGTAGTACATGCATCCCTTGCGCTCACACTGCATTTTTGATGTCAGCGGACCTCCCAGCTGCTTAGTGATCCGCCGCGTGGGGATGAGTGTGCTGGACCTCACCCCTACGTGCATGAACATTTTGCCTGGGACCGAACAGCTTATGGATTCCTTGACCTTTCGTACCGCTTCTAGATACTGTTGTTTCAACAACCAAGCCAGCCGTTTCGCCTAACTAAGGTTACGTTGACCGCTAGTAAAGCTATCCCTTTGGCTTATACAAGGTTATTTCCGGGTCGTTCCGTCGGTCATTGTTTTACGGCCTTGGTTTTCCTCCATTTCTGTCAGATAGTTAGCACATCCGTTATAGGTGGCAGCATCATTGTTTAAAGGAAGTTGCAGATGAAGCGTTGCATAAGACTTGTTTCTATCCCCTCCCCTTCCGTGTACCTAATGCTTGTGATGCCATATGCAGATTCTGCGCGACCACACCCACCAAACTGTTTGGACGCTCGTACACAGGGTCTATCTGGGGGTTGACGATGTCCAACGTATCAACAATGTTACGGTGACATCCTGCTCACATACCCTATGGTAGCCCGGTAACCTCGGGTTACGTTTCCCGCTGGGTGACCGCGGTGGGTAGGTAACATAGCTGGATTAAATAGGTCTAAGAAGTCTAAGCCGATCTTATCCGTCAAAATACGATAAGTGAGAATCAGGTCCCCCTTATCCTGCCGTAGTGTATGAGGTACCTCCCCATTCAGTGCAGGCATTTTGACAAGTGTCAACACAATATTCTAGGTGGGGTCAGAAGAATGCCGAGAATGGGTTCACAAACCATTTGCCCGTTAGGATTCAGAAAGAGCAGCAGATAACCAATATACGAAACCCCAGGCAAGCTGACTTATTCCACTTGTCACCAAAATAACTGTGATCAGTGCACTATCCCAAAATCAACGTGCTGCGTGACAACCAGGATTCCAGTACTGCCGGCAACATTTGAGAGGAAGGATTAGCCGCTTCGATTCGTATAACAGAGCAATTGGTCCTATTTATGGGCATCAACCATAAGGCAGACCACACCCAGAGCCTATGCAAGGCACCCTGGATTGCCTCAGGACCCCCGGGATATCCAGAATATTCCAGTGCTTAATGTCTTATACCTGTCCATACATGAACTAAGCTATGTGTACACATGAATGGCTTGATAACGATTGCAGCTACATGAAACATGAGACCAGGAGATAGGAAGAAGAGTAAACCATTACCCGCCAGTAAACTAACGCCCAACAGTTAACTAGTTGGCGTTTTACAGCGACTCTCTCACGTGATAAACTACGCCAGCTGCGGAATACAGAACATGAACTACTACAACTAAGGGCGCATTTAAACGGTAAAAGCAACTTGATTTTAATACGTACCCAGTACTTACGTTTCATGACCTATTTAGATTCGGAAAATATTCTATCTGACATATTAAAAAAGTTTAAAAGTATAACTCCGAACACACACCGTTCATTGGATTGTAGAGAGCAGTAGGAAAGGCTTCTGGCAGCTTCTTTACTTCCCAATCATTGCGCGGATGCCGTGAGTCGCTACGAGATGATATTCCACAAGGGGCCATAACAGCCACATTGAAGAAGCACGGTCCCAGCTTACTCAAGTGAAAATCCAAATATCGCTTGAAACATTCCTCAGTCTGCGCGCCGACCACATGTTTCGGCAAGTCGTTCCAGTCATTTACAATGTGGGTTGATGGAGCGAGAGTGGAGCCAACTCTGAGCCTTCTGGTTTTGAATAGTCTCCAGTTGTACCCCTCAGTGGAACTATTGGTGTTGACTTGAAAGAACGCTTGTAGCTCCATCCCGATTTCCCCCATCAGAATTCGTCTAGTAAAAATCAGATCTCCTCTACGTCGACCATATTCCATGGTAAACAGGTGCATCCGATGTAGTCGAAGAGAGTAAGGCAAGTCCCTTAACTACAGTATGGAATTTGAAGCACGCCGCTGGACCTTCTCAATCATG